ACCCTCCAAACCAGCCATTCCCTCATGGGGATCCATTGTTGCCAATCTCCAGGGGAGGGCTGGAGATCACTCAGAATTACAACTGCTCTTCAGATGGTAGAGATCAATTCCCCTGGAGAAAATGGTAAGCTCTGTGTCATTATACCCTGCTGAGGTCACCACAGCAAATTGACACTGAGTGCCCAAGGACAGGACACCTGCCCAGAGCCTCTTTCTAGTGTTCGTTGTATTTATTTCCACAACGAACCTTATTCCTAGTCTATATATATATATAAAAGAAAGTCCCCTCACCATAAAATCAATGCCCAGGCCAAATCGCTGGACCTAGAGACACCACATTCGGGGAGAGCGCTCCTACCATGGCGTAGATGCTCGCTAACAATGGATTTTTAGAAATTTGACCCCTAAGTGGGTCAAAAGGGGGAAAATGTGCTCCCCCCGTTGATTCCTATGTGGCTGCCAGGCAGCTGCCTCTCTGCACCCCCCACTATCTGATTGGTCAGCTGCAGAGCTCAGTGTTCTGAGATTAAAAAACCCCAACAGTTACAGGGGACTGCAGAGAGCTAATGACAGTTGAGGAAATCAGGAGTGGCCAACAACCACCTGTGAGGTGAAGCAAAGCTGCTGGCCCAGCCTCTCTGATGGCTTCCAACACACTCCCCCCACCTCCTACACCTAACAGGTGGTTGTCTTCAGGTGCAGCCCCACCTCCACAGTGACTTCTAATACACCTCCCCCCTCCCCCTCCTACACTGGACAGGTGTAGCAGAGGAGGTGGCTTCCAACACACTCCCCCCACCTCCTACACCTAACAGGTGGTTGTCTTCAGGTGCAGCCCCACCTCCACAGTGACTTCTAATACACCTCCCCCCTCCCCCTCCTACACTGGACAGGTGTAGCAGAGGAGGTGGGATGGCTTCCAACACACTCTCCCCACCTCCTACACTTAACAGGTGGTTGTCTGTCAGGTGCAGCAGTGGTTGCAGGATGCTTAAAGCCACGAGTGATCCTGCCAGCCCTGCCTCCACAGTGGCTTCTAATACTCCTCCCCCCTCCCTCACTGGACAGGCAGCTGCGTGTCAGGTGTAGGAGAGGAGGTGGGATGCTTACAGCCGCTGAGGAGGTTTGCTCATCAGGATTGCCTTAGCACTGCTGCTTGCCCAGCCTCCCTGATGCCTTTAAATACAATCCCCCCCAACATCAGACAGATCGGTGTCTGTCGAGTGTAGGAGCAGGGCCAGGGTATGAATGTTTATGGGGAGATAGTAAAGGACATTTCTAGGAGCCATTTTGATGTGTGCCTCCCTCATGAACCTGAAGAAATGTCCACCACATCACCACTCCCTCAGACCAACTCCCTCTCACACCCCTCACCTCTTACTGCCCCCAAGAGAGCTCCTGGCAAACGTCAAGCCAGATACACCAACGCTACAAGGAGGAGGCAACTTAGAAATGCAGCAAAGACATTTGCACATGGTACTCCTGCAGTGCACTGAGCTGCACAGGCCAAGTACCAGCAAGATGACCCTGAGGTGCTCATATGAGCAAAACAATCCAGGAACACAAGTAGAGAGGCCATCACTTTTGTGGAAGGTGGCAGGAATTGACTTAACAGACAACTGCTTCTTAAATGGACAGTTCTGTGGCCTGCTCCAGAGTGAGCTCACCAAGCAGCCTGGTGATCCTAGCACCTGAGGGCAGAACCACCTATGTGGTCTACAGAGAGGTCCTTCAGTAGAGAGAGAAAAAGGACGTATGTCTCACCATTTCTTACACTACAATCTTCTCTGTTAGGATTCCTACAACAAATGTCACCTTTCAAATTTCACACCATCAGTATTATAACTGGATTTACAGAGCTTAAATACCATAGTGAAGCATGGGTAGCAGGCTAGTCATGAAATATTTCTATGTATAGTCTATTGGCTATTAGTCTATTGGCTACTAGTCACACAGAATATTTATCATATGTATGTATGACCAATTAACTTACATAGGGAATTAGCAAATGAGAAATTGCTTGGCAAGAAGTTGCTTGATTACAGGAGACTGCCCCTTATTGCTGCAGTAAAACAGGGTGTTGCATTGGACCAAGACTTGCCTCCATCCTCATCTTTGGGGGGTTGGGGTGAAGGGTCTACAGGATCTTCTTCCTACAAAACATGGCCCCTTCCCAGATGGGACATCTGGGGGTTCTTTGCAGTCCTTCCATGGGTCGCCAGACCCAACTTGCCCTCAGGTGCACTGCAGCCGAAGCATTCCATCCGTTTTTGGGTGGCTCAGCCAATGTTCTGTGCTGACTGGCAGCCCCCCGTTGAATGTCCCCATGAAATGTCCGGGCAATGCAATTGTAGGGAGCCAGGAGTTTGGGGTGACAGCACCAAGGAGATCAGGTGAGCCCCGGGGGTGGGAAGGGTCTGGAAGGGTCTCTTTAGGGTATCCCATTGGGCAGGTTAGGTAAAGCCTAAGGGTAAGTCCTCAAGGTACAAGGCTGAGGGTCTAACCACAATGGGGTGGGTCAAGTAAGGTAATCCCCAAGGATAGGCCTTTGGAACTCTTGGTATCAAGATGGGATGGACTAACAGGAGACCCAGAAAGGTTTACCTGTCAACAAGTTTTGTACAAATGAGTGGCCCAATTATCCACTGGGGGAATGGGGGAAGATGTCCATTTGTAAATTGCTTTGTCCAAGATGTGTCTTTTGTTTAAAGAGTGCTTGAGGGGGGGGCAACAGTGGGAGGGCTTCTAGTGTCCTGGCCCCACTGCTGGACCTCCTGATGGCACCTGGTATTTCTGGCCACTGTGAGACAGAGTGTTGGACTGGATGGGCCATTGGCCTGATCCAACATTGGCTTCTCTCTTATGTTCTTAAGTAGACTTAAGGCCTCCAAATTTCAGTTTGGCCATGGATATGGTTGCCAATCTCCAGATGGCAAGCTGGAGATCTTCTGCTATTACAGCTGGTCTCCAGGTGACAGAGATCAGTTCACCTGGAGAAAATGGCTGCTGTGAAAGGTGGACTCTGTGGCATTATACCCCATTGAAGTCCTCCTCCCCAAACCTCCACCCCCCAAAATTTCCAGGTATTTCCCAGCCCAGAGCTGGCAATGCTAGTAGCCATAGACTTCTGATTGGAAACTGAGTACATGATTAAGCGTGGAGGGTCCCCCCCCCCCATTCACATCATTTAGCAATCAGAAATCAGAAACTTTTTGGCATTCAAAAAATGCTTTCACAACTGCTCAGTGACCATCCAGACCTTTACAAATAATGCTGTATGTTGATTCCAAATAACTAAAAACTGTGCTCCTGTATGTAATTTTTGTTTTGTTTTGCAAAGCTCCTTTTTAAAAAGAACTCTGTGTTCTTTAACAATAGCCATGTTTCTTAGCTAATAAATATTACTTTATAGAAACCCTACAGTGAAGAAAAGTATATAGTTAGAAAAACCCTGCAGAGTTTGGAGGAGGTTGCAATAATAAAAAAAAACTACTGAGAACATGTTCCTTCTAGGGGGCAGATAATTAAATTGCAATGGCCTGATTTTCAGAAGTCAAAGGTACTCAACAGTTCTGACTGACTGTATTGTGAACCATGGTTAGTCATTTCCATTGAAATCCAGCCTCCTCCTAACTTTGATCGCCCAATATGATTTGAAGTTTACATTAACTAACCGCAGAGGCACACCTGTTGCCATTTTGGGCTTGATGCCTTAATGCACAATTAAGGGGCCAGCCTTTTGCTCATGGAAAATTTTAATGCAGTGCCATGCAGTTGTCAGATATGGTGTGCTACACACATTGGTCTTCTTAGCTGACAGAATTAAATCTAGTTTAGTGGATATTTATGGAAGCTTTTGATCATTTAAAAAACTATTCAAATTTCATTATTTTTAAATGAACCAACACAAGATCATAATAATAAATGGTAAAAGAAAAAAAATGAAAAACAGCACAAAGAACTGGAGGTAATTATACAACCCAGTTCTGGATTTATCGTATTTCTGTTCCTGCTTTGATTTGGCAAATGCTTCCTTAGCTACTTAGCAGGATTTATCTGCAGAAGGAATGCCTGTGGAATTACAGCACTAAGAAAGAATGCCTCTTATTACTCAGCTGTAATTAGCATATATGTAAAAGAGGTGTGTGTTTTTCTCAGTAAGCACATCTATGGAGATCGCCCCCAAATTACCCAGATCATCTGCTTATGGAAATGTTCTACTTGCAGTGTGGTCTACAGGAGAAAGCTGGGCTGGGTTATTACAAACTGCGTGACTGCAAGAATGAAAAAGGATTAGAGTGTACCTGAATCTCTTGCCAGTGCCGCTCCCTTTTTACAGGGAACATCTTGCTACCTCGTGGGTAAATTCTATATCTTTTCGTTTCCTTTAATTCCAGGGCAAACGCTATAAAAACTCCTTGGAGACAGTGGGGACACCAGATTCCAGCCGAGGTCGCAATGAAAAGAAAGTCATCAAGTAAGTCCCAGGAAGAGCAACTGGTTTGGGGGTGCCACCTCAGATTGCAACCACCACTTGGAAGACACACCTCTGAAATACACTGGATATTGTGCCTTCAAGCAATTCTGTGCCTACAAAACCTTTACATCCCCATTCATGTTTATCTCAGCAGCCCCAACATATATGCCCATCCCTTCCACTCTCTTTCTACCACATATATTTGCTGTCATACCTAAAGACCCACACATACCTACACCACCTTGTGTATATCAGCACCTAATAGCACAATCATTTGCAGTCATCCTTATATTTTCACATAGACTGTAGGCATAACACGGTATTTTCCACCCGGATGTTCTCCAAAATGTTCTCACTTCCTGGCACCTTGATGTGGTTTTTATTCCAACATTCACCTTTCTCTGCTATCCCAAATATTCATACATTTTGTCCTTCCTAAATAATATTGTCTTGTTTCTGTTTCCCTTACCTTGTCCCCTCAAGGTATCACATAGCTGACACTGCAGAATTATCATTGTTTCCTATGAAATCTCAAACCCACAAATGCAACACCTCAAAAACCTTTCGATCCATGTTTCATTTCTGTTGTCCCTCTTCCTCCTACCCCACCCCATCACACATCTGCTCTGACATCTCCCTAGTCCCATCCCTGCATTTCAGAAAATTTCAGATCCTCCTCCCACCTCAACATGTCACGTGTGATATCAACAGGTACAGGCTGCCCAAGAAACCAGTCAAAAATTGCATTGCTGGCTTGTGTGTATAACCATCCGCACATGATTATACTAGTCAGAACAAAGCCACAAGCTTTCGCTTGTCTCTGAACAAATGGTAAATCTCCTACACCGAAGAGCAGCAATTGCTATTTTTCTCTCTCTAGCACTTAGGCAAAGTCTTAGTGCTAAAGTTAATAAAATCCCCCTGGCAACATATAGAAGATTGCAAATCATAATTAACGACTCCACAGCTGTTCTTTGGTACTCAGATTTGCAACAATCAAGATCCTGCCTTCAGTCACATCTTCCAGAGAAATCAGTTTTGTCTGCTCTGGGTATAATGTACAGCCACATTATCCACTTTTGAGCTATTTAAAAAAAAAATAATCATGTGTGGAGACAAATTTGTGATCTGTGGAATGATTCCGGGTTTCTTTGCAATTATGTGAGTTTATATCGAGAAAGGGTTCAGTAACACCCTTCTTTCTCCCTGAGGGGTATGGGTCCGGGCCTATAACACACAGATTATGGCATTACGTGTAATAGACATTTATTAGTTGTCCTGTGACAGACTCGAAGCTTTCTCTCCGGCCTTATCTACAGATTTCCCACAAGCGCTGCTCTGAGCTCATTCCTCCCTTTTGCCCCGATGGTACGTGTCAATTTCACACAAGTGCTGCACGGCCGTATTTTGCCCCGCAGCTTCGTGCAATTTCCCCCGCGTCTACTCAATCCTCAAAAAACAGGATTGAGTAGACGCGGGGGAAATCACACGAAGCTGTGGGGCAAAATACAGCCGTGCAGCACTTGTGTGAAATTGACACGTACCATCGGGCCAAAGAGAAGAGTGGGCGCGGAGCAGCGCTTGTGGGAAATCACCCAGGGAGTGGGAGGACTGATGCTTTGGCCCTGCACACATGAAACAATTGTGCCAAGCAATGAGGCAGCACAAGCCTTTGGGATAGCTACATTACCTCCTTGACCATGGCTCTGGCTAGACCGGGACCTGACTTGAAAACGATCCTTCATTCAGTCTTATCCTTTCTTTCCCATTTCAGGAATTTCTTAGGGTGAGATTATATGATCCAATTCCGTTTCAGCATGACTATATCACCATGAGGTGACATTTTTCCTGTTATACCTTCATGATTACAATTTATTATTAATGAACTTGCATGTTATTAATTATATTTAATCTCACCTTCAAGAATGTTTTCTTGCTTCCAGGAAGCAGAATTCAGTACCAGTTTCACAGCTGGTGTTTTGCCTGCTGATGGGTTAGAGCCTGGGATCTGTCAGCAGAACATGCCGAGGACCGCTGAGCTTCTTTGCCATTCTCTTCCCCCCGCTCAGCAGCCATTCCCAACCATGAGAAGATTGATTCCCAGGGTCACTGGAGGAACAGTGACATTGGTTGGGAGGCTGTGGTGGTGAGGGGGGAGGCGGCAAAATCGCTCCTCTCTGTCCCTTGCGGGAGTAGAGCTCTGACACAGGAGGGGGCCATTTCAACCCTCCCCCCTCCCCACTGCAGCTTTTCCAACCCATGTGACTGTTGTTCCCATGGGTCCTGCAAAGCCAGGAAAAAATTTGCCCAGGGTCAGAAATGGCTGCTGGGAGGATGGGAAACCGTGGACAATTGGCCAGCCTTGCAGGGTCCTTGTGCTGGGTCCGACCCGATACGATCATACAAGCTCATCCTTGGTTCCCCATCTGGCTATTCATTGCCATATCTAATTTTTAAAAGGGACACTGTGGATATTTGTTCCATGGAGACCATGCATAAGGCTGGAGTATTCTGAAATAAGGGACTGTGAGTTTGCCTGGGAAGCTATGACAACCTGGTACGAGGGAAGTTCACTCAGAAGTGTGGACATCTACCATCACCCTGCCTTATATCCCTTCCTACTGAGTACAAAGAAGCTCACACAGAGGGTGATACTCAAGTAAATGGATTGGTGACATTTGCTTATGTCTGTGTACACGTGTGTGTTTGCTTGCGCATGCATCTGTGTGTATGACTTTGCATCTATGTGTGCATAATGAACAAATGGGTGCTGGTGTTTACATATTTGTGTACTGTGCATATGTGCACTTCTGTGTATATGTGCATGTGTGCAGGTATGAAAAAAAAAGTGTGCTTGTGTATATATACATTGGTGGGTTTCTAAGCCTAACAGTAGTTTGAATCTCTTGGCAATCCTGCCTTCCCTTAGCTGAACTATCAGTGAGCCAAAGGTGTTGACTGCAGAGTTCAAAGGTCATGTTCTTTAATCAAAAGTATATAACACTGACTGTTGTCTTCCTGCTGTCCTTCAGGCCTAGCAGGCTGTCAGCGGAGACCATGCATGGGAATGCCTGAGCGTGGGCCACAAAGCAGCTGCTCTGAGGCATTTCTTCTCATGGAGAAGTGTTAGTAGACACTGAAACAGTCACCAACAGGCACCAACAAGCTTGAAACACTCTTCTCCCCTTGCAGCTGGAAAACCTTCCCTTGCTCAGCCCCCCTGAGAGAGATCTCTGCAGTGTCTCTGATCCAAAGCTCAGCAAGGCAGGTGACAGATCAGGAAAGAGACAGGCAGAGAAATACAACCAAGAGGTTTTGTCTCTTGCTTTTACTTCTCTGCTTTCCTCCTCCTTGCAACATTTCCCTCCCCGTTTCTATTCTCTAGCCTCTGTGAATGAGGCTTTTGCCCCTTGGTGAAGTGCAGCAGCCCTTTATCCCAAGCTTTTCATCTCCCCTCTGTGTAAGTCTCAAGAGGCGGGTGGGAAGGCATTTTGTCCCCAAGCCAGAGAAGGGCAAGGAGAGTTAACGAGAAGAAAAGGGGCTGAGTGCAGGATGTAGCCTGGGAAAAACCGCTTTGATGTCTCTAATAAATGTGCCACAGAACCACTTGACTTCAAAGGCCATTGTTGTCCCATCTCATGAGCTGTGAATCAAGTGCTGAGGAGACATTGGAAGCTCTCTAAAAGGAGAAGAAGATTTGGTACCAGGCTGTAGATGATCACAGTGTGGCATCGTGAGCCCCTTAGAGCATCTCATCAATGGATGGCCTCCTGCCTGACCCTCCCAAGCTCCTTCTGCACAAATGAACAGAAGATCTATAAAAGGACAAGCCATATCCCTTGGGCTTCCTGTGAACAAGCAGCCAGAACTTTTTTTATTATTAAGGTGCACACAGACCGGTATTGGATAAAGGGTCAGATCCTGAGCCCTGGTGAAACTTTGATCAGATTTAATATGTCTCAGAGTGATTTTCTTAAATTTAGATTCAGTATAAGAAAACATGAGCTAATCTTTCTTCACAACTGCTTATTTTATGGTTCTTACATGTTCTTCAGCACCACCTGCTGTACCTTGCATGCTTGGTGGGAAGAATTTGAGTAATGCCTTTAGTCCAATGTCTCATAAGAACTGTCTTAGGATTTTTTTTTCCTGCTTGGGATATTGCTACTGCTCTGTTTGCACTTCTCTGTAGTTCAATACACAGTTCTGCACAGAATACTGGAAGATATTTCACTTCCCTCAGTAGTGGATCCAGCCAGCGTTGGAGACCCCGGGCAAAGATTCCAATTGTTTTAGAAACCGACCGAATGTTGTGCTGGGTGCTGTGCACCCCTTCTCCATGGGGAGAAGGCAGGAATGAAGGGAGAAGCCAGAGGTTGAATAGTGAATAGTCGTTGCAAAATGGCAATTGTCTTTCCCAAGAGGACAAATGGGGACACAAGAAAGCAAAGCGTAGCACCATCTGACAGAAACATCTTTAACCTGCACACCATCTTTCTCTCTCTCTCTCTCTCTCTCTCTCCACCAGCTTTTGGAGGTGCCTGCTCCTGTTTTTCTTCAGCTCTACCTCCTGTTGTCACCTGTCCCTCCGTGTGTGTGCATGTGTGTGTGTGTGTGTGCGCGCTTGTGGATGTGAGGCACAGAGCTTACCTTCCACAGGAGGAGAAATCGCTGCTCTAACCTCACTGCCTCTCATTTGGGTTAGTTTTTTTCTCCTTCCTCCCTTTGCAGGAATTTAGATTCTCTTTCTTGTATTTCCCTTTTTTCCCCCCCTCCCCTCGTCACCGGCTGATCTAGTGATCTAGACAGAGACTTTTGGAATAACAATGACAACACAGTACAGCAGAAATGGAGCTCCTACCCTCCCAAGGAGTTTATACTAAACATATCACCTTACGCCCCATATGGTGATCCGCGACTTTCCCTCAAGTGAGTCTCTCTTTACCTGATTTGATCATATATAATGAGTATATGCACACCCTGCCTCCCACCGTCCTCTTCCTGCTCTCCCCTTCACATTCCTCTTCCTCCCTGTTCCACCTCCTCCTCCTCCTCACACACTCCACCTCCCCCATGGACAGACAGCCATGGAGACGAGCAACCCCTCCTACCTTCCCTTCTCCCCGCTTTTTAATTCAGGGGTTCCCAACTACAGTGGTCCGTAAGACTTCTCTGGCTGGTATTCCTCCCCCCCTTTCTCCTTTTGGCTCCAATCCTGGTCCTAAGGAAACAGTGAGTGTTCTGTTGGTGGGTTCACTGGCTCCAGAGTCAAGCCAGTGGCTCAACCTTTGGGCTGGACCTCAAAAACAAAATGGCTGGCTTCCATACTTGCGTGGATCCCAGTAAGTACCTGGTGTGTTCAGCCAACTGAAAGGGGGGGAGTGCTGGCAGGCATGGGTGACACCTCAAAAGCCACTGTAGGGCTCTTGCCTCAGAGCGGGTTTGAGTCAGGCTTTCAGCCGGCCAGGCTTGTGTGGTGTTGCCCGTAAGCTGGGAGCCGCTGCCTTAAGCAGAAGAGGTCCGTGCCCTCCCCCCTCCCTCCCCTTGGTCCCTTTGGCTCTCCTACTCCTCACCTCCTTCTCTGCAGCACAGGCCGGGGTTGCCCGTTTTGGTCACCCTCTCAGCGTGTTCTCTGCATCTGCACTGTGTGGTGATGGTGATGGTAAGCTCTCTCACTAACATGGCTTTTTTTCTCTCCCTTCACCTGCACAGTGCCTCTCCTAACGGTCTTATCCATTGTTCAACCCTTCATTGTCAATGGAATAAAATTACTTTGGCTGCCATCATAACCTCACAACCAAGCCAGGGCTGCCTTCTGTCTTTGCCTGGGACAAAGGCTCTCCTTGGCCCTTTCTTTTGCAGTGCTGATGTCTCTCTTTCTCTCTGTCTGTCTGTCTGTCCTTTGTCTGTCTGTCTCTCTCTCTCTCTCTCTTTTTCTCCCTGTTCTTTTTTCCTCCCCTTTGTGTGGCCTCCTTCTCGCTGCCGTCTGCCTCCGCCTCCCTTCTCCTGGTGTGCCCTAGTGGCTCATTGCTATCAGGTGCAAAGCTGGCTGCCTCGGCCACATCAGGGCTGGCAGGGGAGCGAGAAGGACGGCACGGGGAGAGGCAGCAGCTCCGAGAGGACGGCATGAAGAGCAGCGTGTCTGCCCAGAGTGAACCCAGCATTGGGAAGGCGGGGAGAGGCCGATGGCAAACGGTGCAGAGCCACCTAGCAGCAGGGAAACTCAGCTTAACCAAGTGAGTGAGAGTACATCATGGGCCTGGCCCTATCTCATGGCCCAGAATTTCATCTAGGAGCATGAAACAAACACCAACAACCACGCTACAATCTTTGTGCTGAATCAGACAGAGCACAGGAATGCAAAGGCAATGGATGTGACACCATTGTTTAGAGGAGAGCTATGTAGACCATCAGCAATCAACGAGAAAAGTTCAGTTCTGCAAGAGCAGAAACAGAAAGCTGTATTTCCTACTCCCACCCCCACCACATACACAGTTTTATCTGGGAATAGTCCTTAGAGTGTGCAGATAAATCAATAAAATAGGTTTAGGCCAATTTCAAGGGACCAGAGCCCCATTCCAGGATCACAGTTTGGACTCCAAATGACTGTGTTCCTGGGGCTGCTGCTCAAATGATGACGAAATAGTAGTTAACCGGTCCTAACAAAAAAGGCATTATAATACCACTCCAAGAAATAATATTTATTAGTTATAAGGTATGTACAATAACGAAAGAGAATAAGCCTTGACTGCATGTCAATCTACAAAAAAAATCTAAAATGGCACATAAAGAAAGAGAAGGGGGGAGGGAGAGAGAGAGAGAGAGCAGAGGAGAAAGGTTCTGACTCAGATTCTCTGGTAACTTTCAAGTACATGGCTTGCAGGCACCTCAGCCCCTGGCCTCTGTACTTGGGCTGCCCCACTGAGTATTCCATCGGCAGCAGTGAGCACAAAGCTAGATGCTACGCAGCAGATGTACTGAGTAGCCATGCTTCAGAGTATACATGCTCCAGGGAAATTCTGGAATCCTTCAGAAGTGTGAGCCCGGAATGTGATTCATTCCAGCCTCCAGCCCCCACTTTTTCTGTAGTCACAGCAGCTTGTGATGTCCTGAGCAGTATGATTCAATAACAGTTTTCTAGAATGGCTGTTCACTGACATCTCCTGTTAGGTTTTCTAATTCCACTTACAGTCCAGCTCTTACTTCTGACTCTACAAATATTCTAATGTAGCTTCTTTAAACTGTTTTGAACTAAGAAATGGGTCGTTTTCCTTCGACTATTTGCCTCATTCTTGAAGCCTCGGAGCCAGTCCAACTAAAATCTCTTTTTGTGTCACATTTTTGACCACGTGCCAAAAGTCCGAAGACCCAGCCGTGGGGCTCTCGGTTCAGGCCCTCTTTGATGACAGTCCTGCCTTTTGCAGCTAAAATGAAAACAAAATGAACTCCTTGTGTTTTGGGCATATGCAAACCTTGGTGGAATATTTGAGGATTTATCACATGCCCCCTTTAGGTCTCTTATAAGTGGCACACTTGCAGCTCAAGTAAACAGGCTGCAACCCCTCATAGTACAAATATTACTCGACATTTCTAAGCACCACTGCAGATGTTTTCCATAAGGATTTTTAGAAGAAGTATACTTGTGCATTATTCAGTTCAAACTGCTATACTAGCTTGTTATTCAGTAAATAATAATTATAATTCTATTTTGCAGTTTTGCAGGGGCTTCTTAAACATAAGTGAAGCGGCAGAAATTGTGGCTATGATACAAGAAACATTATTGGTGTTGTATTGACTGTTTTTGCTTAAAGACTATATTAGAATTTTGCCACTGTAAATAGGATTTTTATACGCTCCAACTGTAACATTCTGATCCAAGAAAGTAATAGGCAAACAGGAAGAAAACCACACATGAAGCAAGCCCAATACTTGCTGTTTCTGCCACAGCAGCCCCCCACTGCTAGAGGCAAACCACAACTGTAAACAGGGGTGGTTCTTGTTGATTCCGGGGCCCTGGGCAAAAGTCCAGGATGGGTCCCCAGAATCACTGCCACCACCACCCCTGCTCCCCCCCCCGAGGTCAAGCAAGGAGTGGCCCTCGCCCTGTGTGAGGTGGGTAGGAACCACCGGGGCCCCTGGAAGTCGCCACCCAAGCCCCAGATGGGGCAGGTGCAAGCTGTCAGAAGTCTGCTCTCCTTTTCCTTTGAGAGAGCAGGGCTGCTGGTAGCCTGCCCCCCCCCCCAAGCATGGGACCTCGCTGCCCCTGTTGTCCATTGGCTAAGACTGCGCCTGGATGTAAAAGCAGTTTGTCTTTTAGGCAGAAGGGATGGCTTTGGTGAAAACAGAAAGCAGTGTTCCAGCTACATGTGCCCTTCACTTTTGAGTACATGCACCACATCTTTTGAGCTGCGGTGGCTCAAGTGGTTAAGACGCTAAACTGCAGGCTGTGGAAGGTCGGTAGTTCAGCGGTTCAAGACCCGAGTGTGCCGCATGACGGAGTGAGCTCCCGTCTCTGGTCCCAGCTCCTGCCAGCCTAGCAGTTTGAAAGCAAGACATTGCAAGTAGATAAATAGGTACCACTTCAGTGGGAAGGTAACAGCGTCCCATGCACCTTGTTGTTTAGTCATGCCGGCCACATGACCACGGAAATGTCTTCGGACAGCGCTGGCTCTTCGGCTTTGAAACGGAGATGAGCACCGCAACCCTAGAGTCGGGTTTGACTGGCTTTCGAGTAAGGGAACCTTTACCTTTACCTCTTCTTTGGATCATGGCTAAGACAATAGTCACATGTTTATGACTTACAGAGAGCCAGTTTGGTGTAGTGGTTAAGTGCGCGGACTCTAATCTGGGAGAACCGGGTTTGATTCCCCACTCCTCCACTCGCAGCTGCTGGATGACCTTGGGCAATCCATAGTTCTGAAAAGAGCTGTCCTTGAAAGAGCAGTTCCTGAAAGAGCTCTCTCAGCCTCACCTACCTCACAGGATGTCTCTTGTGGAAAGGGGAAGGGAAAGGACTTTGTAAGCTGCTCTGAGACTCCGAATGAAGGGCGGGGTATAAATCCAATCTCCTCCTCCTCCTCTTCTTCTTCCATTTCTGTGGCATTAAAATCTGCCAAACATTCTTTATTTGACTGATTCAGTGACTGAAACCCATGTATGACCAGATAACCAGTAAATTTTAGAGTTGGCAAAGGATTTTTTTTTTTTATTTTTTTTTGCTATTGAGGAAATTTACCAGGCTCCAAAAATTAACTTCCAGGTTCCACATTGGTTCCACCTGTGACCCACCAGATTCCACATTTCCTGGACTAAACTTGATTCTGCCCTGGCCCCATCTTCTTATAGCAGAGTGGGCTGAGAGGAGAGTGCTCCAAATAGTATAATACAGGTCCCTACCACACGGCAGGGAAAAGGACGCTCGAACTGCGGCTAATGTGAGCCGCAGCAAAGTTGAGACGGCGCGGCGGGATCTCACAGATCCCCCGAGCCGCGGCGCCGTCGCTCCCCGGCACGATCAGATGCCGGGGAGAAAGCGACGGTGGGGAGGGGAGCCTGGCGAACTGCGCATGCTCACACATGCGCAGTTTGGCCAGGAGCCGGGGATGCGTCCTTGCGCCAGCAATCCCACGGTCAGCGAAAAGAGCCACCTCGAAAAGAGCCACCTTCGAAAAGAGCCACCTCGGTAGGTGGTTCTTTTTTGGTGCGGAGCAGCGCTGGAAGGGCTGGATCAGGGACGGAGACGGTACACTTCCCAGATGTTGCGGTGGGATCGCGCCCGTTTGCTCCGCCCCCGTTTCGTCCCGCTCCCGGCCCAAAAGGCCTCATATGGACAGGACCACAGTAAAGTAAAGCAGACAATGAGAGATGCTTTAACTGCCTCATCCATGTGATTCTTTTCACTCATACAAAATCACCTCCCCCCCTTCACCTCCTTTTTACAGGAAAGGGGAAGAGATGTGAATAAATACATGGGGCTGCCCCAATACCTCTAGTTTGACCAAGGTCCTAGGTCAAATCAAGGATCCCTAAACTTGTATCAAGGCCCCATTTCCAGGAAGTACTTTCTTTTACAGCCCTGAGATGTATTTGCAACATTAATGGTAATGACCGTAAGGGCTGTCTTACAAATGGTAACGTGGAATTAACATTTCATTTGGAACAATTGTTTAGATCCCAGGAAACATGCCCAGTGATTTCCACCAGTGGAGCACAGCTTCCTCAGCCCCTCTCCCTGCTGCAGCCCAAAATTTCCCCTAAACTGCTGCTTCTGGGGGACGGGGGACTCCAGGAACAACATGAGGGCAGAGTCAGAGATCTGCCATGGGAAGGGGGGATTTGCAAAAACATCTCCCCATTCAGTTAGTGGAAACCTTCTGTGAGATCCAACACAATGTCTACAGCACTACATTTTGCCACCTAACAGGTCCTGGCCAGAGATTTCTCAAACCCTAAAATGCCCTTAACTAACGTTCATTCTGAAACCTGCTATCAGCTGCCGCTCAACTGCCTTACCCAGCCAGCACATACAAATGATTGTCACAAGGAATGTGTAAGACAGTTGGGAGTGACAACATCTGTTAAGAATATTCACATTAGTTCTGGTTGTGAAGTCAACCCTAGACTAACTTTGAAGCATTTACTGATTTAATAAAGATTTGTGTTGAGTAAACTGATCTGTAATGCCTCCCTCATAGTGGAAACTTTTGTGACTGGGTTGTTCCTGTATTTGGCATGTGTGTTTCTGTCATGGAGCGCTACTTCGCGAGAGCTCTTCTGTTCGCTTGCACAATGACATTGTGATAGAAACTACAAGTGGGACAAGGGACCAGCAGACACCAGAGAGCCAGGTGTGTCTGGTACAGTCCCTTCAACACTGGGACTGCTTCCCACACAGCAATTACCCTTGATAGAAATTTATACATTCTGCTGGCTTCAGGCCTAGAGGGGCCAATTTTAGTTTCCTGTGACCGAGGTTGAAAATTGGACTAATTTAGGATTTGATAGAAAACTGAAATGAGGTCACAGCATGCAGAGGAGGCAGTGGCTGGGAAAGGCCCGTTTCTGCTTTAGGCCTGACACCCAGCGGGTTGGGGTTAGAAATATCCAAGCAGACTCATTGGTATTAGATGTACACAGAAGTATCCAAATAATTTTTTAAGGCAGGAAAAGGGGAATGGATCTCTTTGCATACACAGGTCTTCACAATCCCTTCTTCTTTCACCTTTTCTTCCTCTCTCTCTCTCTCTCTCTCTCTCTCTCTCTCTCTCTCTCTCTCTCTCTCTCTCTCTCGCTCCCTCTCCCAAATTTCTCATCATAATATACAAAGATGCAACTTTGCCACTGCATCCCTGGCATCAGCATTTTTGCTGCTTTTGTTGTAGGCGGACACTCACTCTTGCTCAGTTCGCAGCTGCAGCAAATGAGAGAGGCTAGACTCTTCTACCAAGAGCTCCTGGTTTCCATGCTTCCTTAAGTTAGTTTGGTAATCAGGTTTGGTTTATGCTTTAAATTATGGTCAGACTGGCCTGTGAGCCTTTTGTGACTGCCAGCCCCATCTGGCCACTCTAAAGCTCAAGCCTGAAAAAGCAGCCGAGTTTGGACAGAAGCAGAGATGGTGAATGATAGGACTTGTGGGTGATGACCTGACCGTGCACCTTTGTCCCGTCACGTGTTCATTTGTCTGATCAGTGATTGTCCATCCCTGCATAATACCTAACCAGGTCCTTCAGGGTACACCCGAATATATCAATCACTGTATAACTCCAGTGCCTTCCATATCTCTATTTCATGCATATGCTTTGTCATGGATTTACCATCACGACCCTTTCTTGTACAGTTCTCTTCCCTATATATAGCTTTAGTTTTAACTACAAGTTGGGCTGTTCATAAAGGGAGGAGGGTGAGAAGGACCAACTTCCATGCCGTAGAAGAAACTAACTCTGTGCTCCAAACAAGTTATGCGAATCAATACAATGTCATCAAATCTGCACTCAAAGTTTAAACTTGACACCTGCATTTCCACAAAATTTAGAATTTGGGAAAACAACAGAAAAATATTATAAGTAAGAGGCAATAGGATTTGATGGGTATGGGAAGGCAGTTGGAGATCATAAGAGGGGAACAGGTGGCTATGTATGGGACAGAAGATAGTAATGCCTGTGAGCTTTAAAATATAACTGCACAAACATATGAGCTAACAGCCCATTTCTAACTGAATAAAGGCTGATATTTTCAGGAATCTAAATCCTGTGCCACATGTTTTACAAATGCAGTTTTACAAATGCAGTCTTGGAGAAGATGAACAGCTCTGGCTATGGGGGCCCCTATTTTGTAACTACCTGCATGCTTCCTTTCATGTGTGTTCATGGCCATGTCTGGTCCTCTCATGTCTAGGCTGAATGGCTATTCATGTTTGGCACTGTTTTTCTGAATGAATGTTCAGCCACCTGCTCTGTATGGTTAGCTGTGGATTTTTATCATGTCTTTTGACACCTGTCTGTATCTCTGTATTGTCATTCTAGCTTTATGTCCTGCCCTGTACTTCACAGATGACAGGTCTTATCTAACAAAGAAGTCTCTCACGTGTACAACTGTGTGGCCACCTTACTTTCCCCTTCCCCAACACATCCCTTGTCCTTTCTACCAAGAAGCTGCCTGCTTATTATGTGCAAATACATATACTAGAACTCCAATAATGGGTGTTGGTTTTGGAAGCAGTGATTGACTACAGAACAGTGACAGGAGAAGGGGGTACATAGCTGTTTAGATGTTTGCCATTTCCCTG